ATTTTCTTCATTGAATGACACTCACCTCAAATACCTCCCATGGTTCTTATGCTGATTTTTATTACAGTGCAACTCAGAGATTTCTCCCAACATGGAGGACCAGGTCTGATTCTTCATGAATTGTAACATTATATGATCACTGGATGACTTTTCTCCATCAGTAAGAGAGACTGACCCAATCATTCAAGTGGAATTCATGAAACAAAAACACAAAAAACCCCAGAATTAGTAGAGAAGAAAGGCTGCTGTGAAGAAATCAATACTTGGCCACATGTCACTGTTTCAGGCCTTAGGCAATAGTCAGAAAGCAATTTAATAAGAGATACTTCCATGAGGATTGAGAATGGTAACATCAATAGTGTGTTCAGTAGAAAAATACTGGACACAATTCACATGGAACAACACAGTAGGAAACAGGTTTCCATGACCATTGCTGCAAGCAGATGGCCAAGACAGAAAAGCAAGCTCAGGTATCTGTCATTTTGTGTCTTTAACCCAAAACAGACTTGTTCCAGCTGACTGACTGAAGTGCAGGGCTGGTCCTCCAAAAACTTGTTTTTCTGCTAATTGCCCACACAGGAGCCTACAATGGGTCCTATCTCAACTGCTGGCAGATTTCTCCCTGACTTCTCCAGGAAAACAAAGATGTAGTGCTGACCTGGTGCTCAGGGGGCAAGACAGGGAAGAGCAAGGAATATTTTTTGGATGCTGAGCCTATAGCTTGCTCCTCTATGTCTCCGAAGATGGGATGAATTTATTTGCAGCAAAATAATCACACCAAAACTTAAAATGAACACAGTACAACTCTCTACAAGGGCCCAAACTGTAAATTTCTCTGTGCTACAAAATGACCTCTGAAGCCCATGCCTGCTTACACGTATTAACAACTAAAGAGCTTCAAGACACTTAATCACAAGAGAATGTCCCTTTAATACATTCATGGAGAAGCCAGAATATGTGAGCTCCAGAGAACAAGGACCTATGACTATCTTAGTTAACAATTTATTCCCATTCCTCAGCCTAAATACTGAAGCAAAGTAGACAAATAAAAAATATCTGTATCTATCT